ATGGTCCCCGGCTGCGGCGCGCTTGGTGGCGGGCTCAGTGTGCGCTCGGTTTGGCGCCCTGGGGAGGCGCTGGGAGAGCTGCTAGGCGTTTGTGACAGCAACGTGTTGACTTACCCGTTAGCGATGGTGGTCTTAATGTGTTGGAAGGTGTACGCGAATACCAGAGATACCGCCTCTGCTGTAGGCATGTTCCAGCCTGAGCAATGACAAGGACTGTGAGTTTTTATTTTTAAATACTGGGATCGTTACCATCTACTAGCACAAAAAAGTCCAGTTTACTGCTTGGAATTCTGTTGCTGTGCTGCTGAAATGATGACATCTAACTTCTTCGTTAAAACATAGTCACTGGACAAGAAGGTTAATAAAAGGGCAGCTTCCAAACACACGTGAAGTATTTTTTCTGGTTTGGAAGACTTTGTGGATATATATGTGTGTGAGATGCGAGAAAGAAAATACTGCAGCAAGATTAGCAGACCTCTAAGTGTGTATATACTTACATGCTTCGCTGCATCTTTCCCCCCCACCCCGTCTCAGTGCCCCAAGATGAGGCTGTCAGTAGAGCCATCATTTGATAAAATGTTTCATTAGATGCTACTCTCCAGGATTATAGCGAAAGTACTTTAGTTCTATGTCGCATCATAATTAAATCCTAATCTATTTCCACTGTCTTACAGTATGTTGGCTAAGTGGCTCAACCAGAAGGCAGATGGTTTGCTATTGAAAGCTTTAGTCCTGAAATGATGCTGCACCCTTGCTGACTCTGTTTCTTCCTTTTGTTTTTATGATTTTTTTGTCACCATTGTAGACATTTCCTGTCTAAAGGACAAGCTGAAATGACACAAGTTGGGAACAAAATTATCTTGCTTGTGCAGCACTTCAGTAGGAAAGCTGATCTTGTGGTTAGGAGCTATATTGAGGAGAGAGTTTCAATTTTCAGTTTCTCTATGGATTTTCCCCTCAAGCCACCTTTGGAAATGACATTCCAAAGAGCACATGCACCATGCTTCCTGGAAATTGGACTCATCTTAAGGGTGGGTTTTTGTTAGATTAGAAAAGGAAAATAACCAGCCCTTGACCTCTCTTTCCTTTCTCCACGCTTAAAAAGAAAATCTGTTTCTTTTCTTTGCCTTGTTAGTTCACATCTTACGAATGCATCGTGTTTTAGTAAATATTTGTACAGTGCTTAACCTGGATCTCTACTAGGACCTCCGTTTGTCATTTGTGATACAAGTAGTAGGCCACAAAAGCATCAATTTCTGTAGGAATTTCAGGACTGGGCTTCCTGCAGGAATGGTTCTTTGTGGTGCAAAGGAAGTATGATACACTAGTTCCTTCCATTATTTTGAGTTATTTCCTTCTTCTCTGGAAGAATATAGGTACTCAGTTCTGTTCCAGTGTGGAAATGCAGGCAGAGCTAGATCCTAAATGCGTAAGACTTAGCAGTATGTGGCAGTTATCTGTAGTCCTTGAGGTACTTGCTGAAGCTATATCAGGGAAATGTGAAGAAAACGGAAAAGTGTGATGTTAGCATAACTTTAAATGAATAGCTATTGATCCTATGTTTGTATTGTACTCCGGTATACAGTCTTGAAGTAAGAAAAAAATAAGTCAGGAATAATGCCTCTCATAGCCCATAGAGTGGACAGAATAACTTGAAGGAGCCAAATAGGACTTGCACAAGCAGTCTATCGTTGTTTCATCTTGGAGTTATAGGTGTCAAGACCATGAATTTCCTTCTTAGGATGTATCTATGGAGGATTTGCACCCTGGGCCTGATACTGAAATGGGATATCTGCCCAGTACTCAAGTATTACCATCTCTTGAAGTGGAGGGCAGATATGTTAAGTGTGAAGGAGCTGTACTCACTTGGTCTAGTAACACTGCTCCAGTCTTCTACTCCCAGCCTCGTTGCAGCCAGAGAGAGTTCCCTCTTCCACTCGCCTTTTGGGTTCTCTATAACCCTGCCAAAGGACTTAAATTTCTTTTTTTTTTCTTTTTTTTTTTTTTTTAAACATCTAATCACTGTTAATTTCCACCACCACTCTCTGCAACATAGTTTACTCAAGTCTAGCTCTAAAAACCCTGGTTCTGAAGTTTCTTCATGCTACCTGGATGCTATTAGAGTGAATAGGAGAGGCAAGCTCTGACCCTACTTTCTCTGGGAGTGGCAATTACAATAATGTCCACGTGGGGACAGTAGGTTTGAGGTGGGGCATGCCAAACTGTTCTTTGGGGATGATGCACACATTGTCTTCTTGACACGCAGCGATGCAAAAAGGTTTTGGAAGATTAGAGAGTTTAGCTGCTAATTTCTGAAATCACTGAAAATAGGCATACTACTTCAGGTTTTCACGGGATGGGCAAAAAACTTATGTAAAATGACGGCCGAGTTTCATGTGCTTTCTCAAGAGCAGAGAGGTGCAGGAACTGGAAGAAAAGTGTGTAAGAGGCTCTTTTTCTTTTCTCTTTTTTTTTTTTCCCCTCTTTTTTTCTTTTGCCAAGGTAAATCCAAGATGAGGTAAGGAAAGTTACATTGTAATGTCACTTCTAGTTGTCTGCCTCGGGACACTTTCCTAACAGGGAAGACATAATTATGAGAAATAGTAAAGAAGGGGTAATAGGTGGTTTGTCTTACTAGTTTTGCAGCGATTAGGTATTTTGACCAGTGTTTACTGGTCTTTAGACAACTGAAATTATTATTCACCTCCTAATGTTATGGGTAATTTTACTGGTGTGAAAGGTGTTCTTCTGTGTCTTTAGACTGCAGTGTAAGAATGTAGCATCTACTTTATATCTCGATGTACTCATTCATCTCCCTAGCTCTGAAAGTATCCTACAAGAGATGTGAATTGGGTAATGTTTTTTTAACAATTTGTATCAAATGTTATTCTGTATTTGTAGTTTCTAGGCTCTATTGCTTTCTCGTTAAAAGAATCTTATAAGTGCAGCAGCTCTGTTTTTCAGGATAGGTAATAATATGCCTCGTGCGCTGACAAGTGAAGTCAGGCCTCTGGTGTCTTGTGTTTTTGACAGCCTGTTCCACAATGGATGGGGGAGATGGTACTGCTGACCTTGTGATTAACAAGAGGTTTGTGTCTGAAGCGGAGCTAGAGGAGCGGCGAAAGAGAAGGCAAGAGGAATGGGAAAAGGTTCGAAAACCTGAGGATCCGGAAGGTATGGGGCATATTTTAATGACTTTTGGGAAAGAGATTCAGGAATGTTTCACTTGCTTGGAAAACAGAAATAGAAGGGTAATAACTTGTATTCTACAAGTTCAAAAGATTAAGTGATGAAGAAATTAAGAACTGTTGATGACTTAAGTGTGTCTGATATATAGTCTCATTTCTTGGTTTCTTCCTTTCCTTCAGAATGCCCAGAAGAGGCATATGACCCACGTTCCTTGTACGAAAGACTTCAGGAGCAGAGAGAAAAGAAGCAGCAGGAGTTTGAGGAGCAATTTAAATTCAGTAAGCACCAGTTTTTTCCTTTTATTTTTTTTTAACTGAAAATAAGCGAATTGCATATTCTGTCTGCAGCAGCTGTGTACATCACCTGACTAAAGGGACATGTCTGTGTGTCATGTTTATCTCTCAACATTATTTGAGATTTTTAGAAAAGTATTGTAACGATATTGTGTTTTTTAAAAGACAGTAGATTTTCCTGCAGATAATGTATTATTCTCTGCACCAAGGCAACACTGCGCACATGTGAAACTTAGGAGTTGCTTGCAGTTATTAAGCTTCATTCTTGTAAAGTCTGGAATACCAGGCTTTAAACAAACAAAACAAATAAAAACAAACAAAAAATTTTGACATCAGTTCATGGTAAAGTGGAAAGGTAAGCTGATTTCCTGACTCTGAACTCATGCTGTAACACAAGACCATCTTGCATGAATCAATAAAAAGAAATCCTGTTCCAGCCAGCGTTACATTTCTTACCCATAATTAGTTGAGTCAAACTTCCGTAAGTGACTTGAAGTTAATGTTAACGTTCAGAGGAAGTAAATATGCAGGAGTTTATTCTTCAAAAACTGGATGCTTAGCTCTTGTGGAAATGGACTGAAAAACCTAATTTCTCCTGATGTTTAAATTTCTGGTTTTATAGAAAAAGTCTTTGCATTTGTATCACCTCTGTATGTGCTGTTGAGTGCAAAGATGATAATGAGAACTAGAAAAGTATTAGTCCACCATTTTGGAAGAAAGGGCACTATTGACTCTATCTAAAGAGAAGTGAGGATGATGCTGTGGGACTCCGTTTTAAGGTGGGTCCTAATCAATGTTGGTCTTTAGCTGGAAGCCTTATCCTCAAACTATTGTGTTTTTTTTTTTTAAGTTCCAGTATGCATAAATAGTATTTTTGTGTGGCAACAAGAAGAAAACTGTAGGACAAATGGAAACAAATGGAACATTTGTTTCCATTAATTTTGGTACAGTGTTTTGAGTTCTGTTAAATACACTCCCTGATTCTGCAGATACTACCAAGCACAATACCAATTACCATAATGACCTTACTGATTTTTTTTTTGTAGTAGATACTAGTAGAATCATTCCTGCAGCCAAATTGCTTTGGGAGAAGATCATTGTCGGGATGACTATGGACCACCAGTTTACCTAATCAGAGTTGAGACAAATTTGGCCTTCTGTGACAAGTTTTGTCCCTTCACATGCTTTCATTTCCCTTAAAATTTCCCTTATTTCAACTATCCACAGGAATTTTGGAGGAATAGGAAACGAGTTCTGTTTTTCTGCGTTATCATTCTGATCAGTCAGAATTGATGACGGGACTTGGGAGAGCAAAAGCAGTAACGCTGAAAAATGTATGTCTGCGTAAGCACCCAAAATTAGTTAGTCTAAAACTCTTGTGTAGATAAAAGACAACATACAGGCTAACTATTCTTCCTTCTGCCAGATTATTCAGCATTGAAAAAATGTCTTCTAACGTTTACCTTTTTAAAATAAAATAATTTTACAATTTCATTATAGCATTTTGAATGAAAAATATTACCAATGTCCTCTAAATTGTCACTTTTAAATTTTCTTTCTGAGCAATGATGATAATCAAAATAAGGATAAACGGAAATGGTTTTCTTTCTCTTAAGTTGCACTACTATTGTTAGTGGTGAAAAGTACAAAGATGAGCATTAATGCAGGTCTTCAGCTGTCCCTACAGAATTCCTTCTGACCTACTGCTGTTAGAACTGCTTTTGAGATGGAGAGTTTCCATTTTACTTCACTAAACGTTTAATCCGGGTCATCTTTGGTGATGTGACTAAACAATTTATGTCCCGGTGGCCACCAGGCAACTGACGGCTAGTGGCCTAGGAGTTGAATACTTCTAATAGCTGTCCAGATTGCTTCCCTTGCCTTGTTGTATTAGGTCTGTAGTGCCTTCACTTTGTTTTAGGAAACTTGTAAACCAAGCACTGGAATGAGAGGCATCCGTGAGAGGGGGGGTTGGAGAAATAAGCCAAATACTGCTTTTAAGGCAACCCTTATAGAATAACAGTACTGAGAAACCTGCAATCTGGAGAACAAATGCTTCTTTCTACTAAATATTTCTTTCTACTAAAGGAGTATTTAGTAGGTAAGCTCTGCAATACCAGCTGTAAGAACCTCTTCAGCTGCTTCTCTTAGTTCTCAGATCAGGCAGCCATACAATGAAGTTAATTCATGTCACTTGGTCAAAAAGTGTCCAGAGTTTCGCTGCTTTTGCTGTCTGTCTGAAGAGGCCTTGAACAGCAATGAGTGGTGCAAGTTACTGTTTGGACACTTAGGAATGAGTTCTGCATTCCTACAGTTGAAAAGACTAGGGTTCAGTGTTTAAAAACTAATGTTAAAATTGATTTCTACACATCCATCAAAAACAGAAGCTTACTGATTATTGGTGTAAAAGGATTTATTAACTTGTCATTAAAGTGAATAGGACTTGACTACGCAAGCAGAGATTAAAAAATGTGTGGCTACCTCATGTGAAGGCCTAAAAATCCTGACATGGAATTCAATTCTAATAGAGGTATACAGGCGAAGATTTCTCAGGATGACTAGAAGCAGAAAGACTAGGTCTTTTTAAAACAGCATTTTTGTTATAAATATATTATTTTGACTGAGAGACATTGAAAATTTGCAGAACAGAAATTCAAAGACCTTCGTACTGAACTAGTGTGTGCTCTCCTTAAAGGAAGATAAAGTGTTTACATGTTTAGAGAGAATTTATTTTTATTTATTTTTATTTTGAAATTAAGACTTGTTTTGATTCTTTTTCTTAAACAGATGTTGATCTCTGTCAAATCTCTAGTTGTTGACTTTAAGGAAATGTACTTCCTGGTTTGAGGCAAGATTTATGGGGAGAAGTAATGTCTTTTTTCCAATTATTGGTTAATTTCATAGTGCCTTTTGAGGAGACAGGTTTAACTCACCGTCTAAAACCAAAGCAACAAATATATCATTGCTTAATGTTGTTATTCCTTGTTTTGTGTAACCTGTTCCAAATGGCAGTTCATAACTGAAGAAAGGCTGCTTGTGCGAAAACTTGGTTAATTTTCCCTAATTATATTAGCAAGTCTGGTAGCATTACACGGCTTCTTTCTACAGATTTTGCTTTGCTTTTCTCCTTAGTAATACTGTTGTATTCCAACTGTATTAATCTGCTGTAGTTTGTGTGCTTGAGTGTTTAAGAGCTCAGGCTTGTTAGCATCCGGTATCATTAACCAGCAAGTATTTTTACTTAATTGCAGAAGCAAGCAGTTAGCTTATCCTTCGTGGAGTTTGCTTTGTACCCTTTACTTGGCTGCATAGAGTAACCGCTAAAGTATGCGATTTACTCAGCCACCCAGGACTCTACTCCCTACGTTCCCAGTGCTCTATACAAACTGTCCCACCTCAGCAGTGTTAGAAATGTCATCTACAAGATGTGGGTGGTTACCTACATTTTATGAGGCACTTTGAAATCATTGCATGAAAAATGCTGTAAGCGAATCGCTAACTAATGCGAGAGAAATACCTACTCTCCAAATAGCTTTAGCTTATAAATATGCATTCTTTTCCTTTATTCAGAAAATATGGTAAGAGGCTTAGATGAAGACGAGACACATTTCCTTGATGAGGTTTCTCGGCAGCAAGAGCTAATAGAAAAGCAACGAAGAGAAGAAGAGCTGAAAGAACTGAATGAATACAGAATATCCTTTGCACTGAAATGGCTGGCAGTGGTATATAGGAGGTTAAGAGACTGTACTGTAAGTTTATTCTGTAATTTGCAGTCTTCCTATAAAACCGCTGTACAGAACATGTACAGTAATACCCTTTTAACGTTTAATTTTTTTTTTTCATAGTTTTGATTACCCATATTAGTGTTTGGGTGTTTTTCCTCCCCACCATGTTCTCAATATTTTTCCTTTTCCCCAGTTGGTTTTTTTCCTTATTGAGAGTAAGAAATATCAAAGCTAAATGGAGAAAGTGAATTTAAAGGAAACATGGGCTGTAACTTCTAATCTTTTGCTTTTGTCCTTCTATTGAAAACCAAATATTATAGAGCTGTTTGTTTTTAACTGTATATTGGCTGTATGTAAGGTACCTGTTTGAAATAGTGTTTGAATTGCTCTCTCCGTTATTCATCTTGAAGTATTAGATATGTTTTCCCCTGCTGATAGCTGCAAGATGAGAAATTAAGAATAAGTGAAGCAGCCATGCAGACGTGACTTTCTTTCGGAAAGCCAGCACCAGAGGAGGCTTGGCTGCTTGAGATAATACAGTCTTTCAGGCAGTGCTAAGTTCAAGCCAGTTAGGATTTGCTGTTAAATGCCACTGTTCATGAAGATGTGCTGGAGAGCAATATAGGATGCTTTTTCTCTCTAATCTTTGCCGAGGAGGGGATGTTGGGAATGATTTCAGGACTTCTGCCAGTGCTAAGCTGAATGCTGTTTTCTTTAAGGGTCAGGCGGAGAAGTGGTTTACCTGATTTGTGCAGCAGCTGATGGTTCCTTTGTCTCTTTTTGAATCCTGATGAAAATCATCACTTTACATAGTCAGTGAACAAAGTGCAAGTTTTCTGGGATGTTTTGATATAAATGAAAGAGTTTATGGACACAAGGAAGAACAAAAGCTCATATTTATAAGGTGACCAAAAATAGTGAGCAAAAAAAGCTGAATAATGCTGGTGCTAGAGATTTGCATTACCATGTATGAGTTAATAATCTATAGTGGAGAAGATTTATAACTTGATTGTGAGTTCTGTGAAGAACGTCTTAAGTTCTCTCACCAATTTGTCTTTATAAAAAAGGCAATACTGTTACATTTTTTTCCTTCAGAAATAGGCCATAGCTGGCAGGTGGGTTTGGAATATTGCCTTGGTCTATTGGATCTAATGATGGGGTGTTCATGGGATATATTTAGGTTCTGTGATATTTGCTCGCGGGTCTGGCAGATGCAAGGATGTGCACTATAGGACTGTGCTGTAGAAGCAGCTGACAGCTCTAGTTAGGTCACGTACGTCCAGAGGGGAACTGTACCAGCCCAGAAGGAGTGTTCTGTTGCCTTGGATTAGTCACATAATAAGTACCCTGATCCCTGAATTTACTGAACAGGGCCTCTTCCAGAGTTAGTGCTTCTAACCTCAGTCTTTGCAGGCTTAATAGTGTCTTCTGGTTTTATATCCAAAGTCTTGCTGTAAATTAAACTAGAACTCATTGGTAATGGTGCGTGTAGAGGGAGATGCTTTTGTCTGAGGTCACCTCATCTCACAAAAAGCTGAATTTTGCCCATTCTTGTTCTTCGTTCCACCTTTTTCAAACATAACATTGCAGGCAACCTCAGAGCAACTTGCAAAGGGGCTCATCTGCCAACTTTTGGTAGTATTCTTTCAAAATGCAAAATATGTTCTTACAGCATTAAGCATAAGCAGATTGTTACTAAAGGTTTATCACTGTAGTGACAAAATGCACTAGGTACTGTGTAAAAACTGCTGCCTCTGGTGGTGCTGCACAATAGCTCTTCCAAACTAAAAAGAGGAATGTCAACTCAGTCGGTTTGATTATTTGGTCTTTTTCCTGTTATGACATCCAATTTAAGCTACCCAGAGGCATTTTAGGTAAAGAGCTACATCGATATTCTGTTACAGAGTTTTGTTGGGTTTTTTTGAGGTTGAACCATCATAAAGTCGTATATTTTAAGGATAAAAATGACTTACAGTATTTTAAAGCTGTTTTGAGCGTAAGAAATTTTTATGCATGTCTATGTAGAAATTTTACTTCATATTAAATGATTTTTTTCCCTTTGCTCCTTAGCCCTTCTTCATTTCCTGATTGTATTTAAAGATTTTACAGTGTTTTTTTTTTTTTAAGCCAGTTCCAAGAAATGTTTGAGAGCAACTTCTTCTTGTCTTAAATATTATGCAAACATAGAAAGAACCCCTCTCCAAGAAACTTAGGCTTTCCTATAGAAGAGCTTTTTTAGTGCAGTTGACATTTAAGGTTGAGACATTTATCTTAATATAGTCTTACTGAGAGAGGACACGCTTTTGCTAGGTATAGTATTACATTTGCTAGTAATTGCAGTACATATAAAAATCTCTGAAGCTGGTGCTCATTCTTGTTTAATGTGCAGTGTCTCTGGTAGTTTAGGAGTATTAAGAGAATAGTGTCCTGGACAAAAGTGAAAAGCCCATAATATGGTATCCTTTAAAAGAAAAGGCTTTGGTTTCGTCAGCAAGGTTTTTGTAGTACGGTATTAGAAGGTAGCAGGGCAGTGAACATTAAGTGTGGAAGAGACAAATACTACAGTGTGTGGAAACGTGTGTTGCAGCAGGAAGCTATTTTGATTTTAAAAAATGAACTTTCAGATTACTTCTTCTAGCCACACGATGGCACTCCTGTGTCATCTTAAACAGTTGAACAGCATGGTTTTGACTGAGACGGTTGGTTGAGGAAGCAATAAGTTTGGGTTACTGATGCATCCTGAGGAAAATCAAATGAGGAAAGACATCTGAACACTCACAGTTCCAAAGTGATTGGTGACTTTGGCCGACGTGTTGTTTCAAAGCAAGATGTAAGAGTTTTTGATTAGCAAGTGTTTAGTGGAAAAGAAAAACAAACCTCTGCTACTTTAAATATGTGGTCCATCAGTATGAAAGTCTCTATCTAATATTGACATGTAACATTTGGCATACCTGGGAAACTCAGGGCTTGGTTGTGTCATCTGATCAATAGAACTGCATTCAAAGAAGACACTAATAGAAAACTAGCTTTAAGGTTATAAACAAATATCCTTTTAAGTTAGGCCGATTTTCCTTTACTATGCGCAACTGTAAAGTTTCGGAGAAGCTTTTATGACTCCAGTGGTACCTCATTAACAACTGTGATCTTTGAGACCTCATTTTGACATGCAACTGAACGTTAATCATGTTATAGGGGACAGGACTAGATACTGCCATAGGAGGAGATCTCTTTGGTGTGTTCACACTTCCAGGCTCTTTCTTATCTGATTTGAGAATCTTAAACTTCTGCATTATAGATTTCATCTGCGTCCCACCTTTTTTTAAGTCAGTTAGTTTTTCTGTGTGTTCATAGTCTTTTGGGTGAACGTTGAATTCCCATACACCATTAATCAGATTTGCCTCCTTCCGTTTGGAGTTAATGTTCAAACTGGCAGTGAATGAGCAATCTGCTTCAGTGACAACATTGTGGCCCTTGCAAAGAAATGGTCTGAGAAAAGTTAGCGTGGTAATTGCCAATACAGAAAACTGAACTATTTTGCCCTCCTGGTAGAGGGAAGTACTGGTTTGCCCATTGCAATTTTGGTCCAGTCCAAACTTTTTGTTTCTATTACCTTTAGTAAAAGGCAGGAAGATGTCCGTGTTTATGGATGCTGGACGTGCTATGTGTTTGCCCTTTCCTACTTCCGAAAAGAGGTTCCTGTTCTATGTGAGCTGTTGTTTGCTGCCTGGAGGTCTTTAAGGGGAGAGCTGGTACCTGAAGCAGCACCTAAGTGAAAAGTGTGAAGGCTCTTCTGGCCAGATAAACGTCATTACAATAAATCTATTTCGGTGGAGTATGTGAATGAACTTCAGTTGCTGCTGTCAGCGGGGCTGGCTAAATATATCAGAGAGGAAATGTCTGTTCTCTCCATTCCTTCCTTATTGATCCTTAACCCTTAATTCACAGCACTCTCACCAAAGTGGGAGTCAGTACGGACCCAAAGAAGGAAACTGAGAAGAAATTGCCCACGAAGTCAGTGGAAAACAAGAATAAATTCTCTCAGGCAAAGCTGTTGGCAGGAGCTGTGAAACACAGAAGGTTAGTTTCACACCTCTATAAATTCATGAGGATCGGAACCTAGTTATTAGTGTAAAGGGAGATAGGCCAAAACTGCCTCCAGAGAGTGAGGTGTGAACCTTAGCCCTAAAAAAAAAAAAAAAGGGGGGGGGGAGGAATAAGAAAAGACCAGCCTTGTTTCTATAGGCTCTTGCAAGCTGTGGGGAAAACATGAGACAATTCAAATAGATAAGCATGTGTAAAGCAAGTGGGTAGACTTCTTCATTCTAGAACTGCCAAGCTTGTGCAACCTTGCTTTGGGATCCAGAGGCAATCTATTTTACATCTCTATTTGAAAATGTCAGTGTCACCTCACTCATGTAAACTGCTGAATTATGCAAATATGAATCAAATTATTTTATCTGTGTCCAAAATTGTTATTTTGAATTGTTGCTGGGGGCAGCATGTGGAAGAGGTAGGTTATGAGAAAAGAATCTTGTGTACTGATCTGATCCTGAGGGCAACAGGCAAACTTCCCTTGTTTCTCGCTGATTTGCATTGATACAACACACCTTTCTATCACAGAGAGATGGTAGTTGGGTTCAGGGTCTGTTTGCTGTTTGGCCTTGGCCTGCAAACATAGCTGCTGATGTGCTGCAGATTATGGAGAAATTAGGTATCGGGCCAGATTTGTTTCCCGTAGACCAGTCATCTCATAATTAAGACTATCACTGACATCTAGAAGTTGAGTTAATGTTTTTGAATCTGTCCCAGACAGTGAGAGATTCTTTCAGAAGCTTCTCTTGTAAGGCAATGTTTAGTTCCCAATACAGCAGTAACTGTTTGCATGTCTGTGGAAGCTGAAGTGTGCTCTTCCAACACCTAATGTATGGTTTTTGGATAGTTGTTTGTTTGGTTTTTAGGGCAGAGGAGAAAAACCCTTGACTGATAACACATAGCCAACAATGTTTTCTTTTCTCTATAACTACTAGACTTAAGCCAGTAGGATGTAGAGAAAGAGCTGGCATGTTCTTCATGGCACATCTGAAGTCTACAGATGGCATCTGTTTGAAGAGACCGTCTTAAAACTAACGTGCCAATGCCACCACAGACTTTTCTTTGCAGTCTTCTATTTCTGCAGAGCTATCATCTATTGCAAACTGGCCAGGATCAAGTGTAGCAGGAGTTCAACGACTGCTCTCTGGGTTGCAGTTTGCCTTAACTGGCTTCTACTCTCTGCACAGAATAACCTTTCATCTGTTCTGCATGTTTTGACAGGGACGGAAAAGAATTAATACGTAGAAATGCTGATATTTCATCACTGGAGTTCATCACAGCTGAGTTTAGGAAGCATGTGTTAATGCAGATGGCTTAGGATTGGGAACATGCAAGGGGGAAAAAACTGTGACAAGGAAGAGCTATAGAAGATCTGAGGAGTCAGAAGTCTGAGTAGTGCTCCATTTCTCCAGTACTGCTTTGGACCCCAATAGGATCCCTTTCTCTGTTAGGTCAGACGCTGCAGCTGCATGTGAAATGCTGGAAAGCTTCCTAGGCTTCTTACTGGGTACAAGATTTCAGAAGTCTTAGAATAGGCCCTCTGGGTGCTTGAGGGAGGGTAAGAAAACCCTGGAAGGGGAAAAACACTGGTGTTACACCAGCAAGTGGGGTAATCGTCCACTTGCTACTATTCAAACATATGGTCATGTGGGTTGGCTGAAGCTCATGCAGTCATCCCTGTGGGATTATTTTCAGCTGGAGAGGCAGCCCTGGAGTTAGCTCTGTGTTACTGTACAAGAGATCTGTCTTGGATTCCTAGAGGCATATTTCTGTTTCCCAGGTTAATAGGGGATACCTGTAGTGTAGGTATTGAGTCTTTCCAGGATTCTGCCATGTTCCCTGAGGACCTTCAGTTAACAACAGTTAGAAATGGTAATGGTCTTCAAGGGACTCTGCTGGAATTCTCTGTAGCGTTAAAAAAAAAAAAAAAAAAAGTAACATTAACTTCATGGTAATCAAGTGGCTGCTCCTGAGGAACAAGACAATTCCTTATTTGTTTACAGTTCGGATGGTGGTAACAGCGTGAAGAGGTTGAAACTAGACACTGACCATGATGAGAAGAATCAAGGTATGTCCTGACTTCTGCATTAGGGAAGCTGGCTGCCTCTCACCTGAATTGCTAACTTAATTACCAGTGTTAAATCTGATAGAGGGTTTGCTTTTCCCCTCCTTCATTATGCAAGGCAGCACAGACTGGATGGCATGTTATCTCTTCAAGCACTAGAAATGGTAACTAGAGGCACTGACAGATGTTGCAGCCATTATAGAAAACAGGCCTAGAAAGAAGCTCTATGGGTCATCAGTCCATCCTCTGCCTAAACCATTCCTGACAGATATTTGTCTAAGCTGCTCTTAAATCTCCACAGTCAGAGACTGTGCACCCTCCTTAGGCAGTTTATTCTAGTATTCAGCTGATTTTACCCTTAAAGTGTTTTACCTGATAACTGCTGTAAGTCTCCTTAGCTGCATTTCAAGCCTAATGCTTGTCATCTGGTCCACAGGAGACATGGAGAACAGATCATCCCTTTCTCTTCCCCCTCCTGGGTTCCCCCCCCCCCCACACTGCACAGCAGCATATGCTGTATTTGTGTACATCCACTATCAACTTTTCATGCTATGAACTGACCTTGTCCATCATGAAATGAATTTCTTTTGGAAAATTATGGCCAACTATAAGGAAAATGAAGTTGCGTTTCAGTCTTAGCTGTCATGGCTGCAATTGACTTGCTGTCAAGATACCCAGACGCAAATAGGATGAGCTGCAATTGTGTAATGACAACCCAAGGCGTTTTCTGAAACTCCTTCTGTTCAGTTAACTTTCAGAACACTGGAAAAAATTAATTAGCTTTGGAAGATTGGAGACATTGACTAGCAGAGCAGTGGAATGAAACTTTTTCCCAACTATGCTATTACATGGCAAAAAAATTCAATTACACAAAGCAGAGCTATTTATTCTTATTTAGTGGGCTTAGTATTTGACAAGCATCAAACTGACAACTTCAGAATAAAAATCTGTAATACTGGCACAGAGCTGGACTTGAACTAGTGATGAGGAAAAATCCCTTGAGGTAGCAAGTCCTCCCTGTCAGAATAGCTTTAGTGTAGCATAAAGCTGCCTTATGCTTTAATTAAATCCTGCATTCATTCACTGCTGATGTGGCAATAAGCAGGTGAATGACACACAGCTGTTCCTGTGCTGCTAGACTGATTAAAAGACCTTTCCTGCACTCTGGTTTTTGACTAAGGTACCTTTCTTTCAGAAAAACCATCCGGTGTTCCCTTGGGGAGCAGCTCAGTGGGAGGCTCCACAGTCCACTGTCCCTCAGCAGCAGTGTGCATTGGGATCCTGCCTGGCCTGGGCGCCTACTCGGGAAGCAGTGATTCGGAGTCCAGCTCGGATAGTGAAGGCACTATTAATTCCACTGGAAAGATTGTCTCTTCTGTCTTTCGTAGCAACAGTTTCTTTGATGGTCCATAACAAAATCCCTCCATGTGTAATGTAGTGCAAAGTATCTTCCAAAGCCCTGGTGGATGCTTGATGCATCCTTCTGCCCCAAATATAATCTGCCTAGCTAACCTTTCAACTTTAAACCTTGGTATCCTCAGATTCTTCTAAAATAACCCATGGAATCCTTCCCCTCCCCCCCCCCCCACATCTTCCTTTTTCTGG